AAGCACCGTAGTGCACTCCCTGTGAGTAGATGGAATCAAACCTGAGGAAATCCATCGCCGGATGTAAATTCAGTCTGGAGCTCGCGCCATGAATCAACAAAAGTTGTATGAGTGGCTAGAAATTTTTAAAGCGGAAAGATCAAGTGTAACGGACGACGGCCGATCTGATCGTCCATCAACATCGCGCACGGAAGAACTTACCCTGAGCGTAGATGCCTTGATCTAGGAAGACCGTTGGAACAGGGCGCCGCTGCAATTGTTGGCAACTGATATGAATCCACACAAGCTATAGTGCATGATGACTTGGGGTATCGTAAAGTTTGTGGGAGCCCTAAAAAGCAAGCGGTCCTGACGTGGCTTTGTGGGTAACCGAAAAGATTCTTTTCGGAAGGGATGAAGAAACTCGTTGATAGCAGAAGTGCATCGCCATCCAGCAGGACTATGTCAAAAAGTGACATATGCATTTCTTCTTCACCAGTGGAAATAAAGGCATTGTATTGAAATTGATTGTGTTAAATGTGGTGTTAAATTGTCTGTGTACATGTATACGTATTTCTCTAAATTCCAAACATTTTTACTGTACGTTTTACTGCGTTTTTTAAATCGTTCTATATCTAACAGATGGTCTGAGATGAGACTGAAAGTACTTGGGGAAAATAATGATTAGTAAACCACTTGCAGCATTTCATCGTACCGTCGAGTGTCAGAGAGCAATGTGTTTGGGCGTATGGACTCTCTACTCGGCAAATGCACCATCGAGAAACAACACGCGCCTAGTGCGTTTTCTGTATGCAGAGGTATTCAGACCTACGGAAATCCATCACTGAATATCCTCACGGTATGGAGAGCGAACCATGAATCAACGAAATGTGTATATGTATAACGCTTTAAAGCGGGAAGAATGTGTGTAACGAACGTAAGTCGATCTGATCGGCCATCAACAGCGCGCACGGAAGAACACATCCAGAGGGTAGATGACTTGATCAAGAAAGCCCGACGAAACAAGTTAGCACAAGTGACGGCAATCGTGGAGATCAGCGTGTAATGTTTGATGTCTTATGAGAACAGTAAAGTGCTCGCTGGGAGCCCAAAAAGCAAGCCATCTAGACGTGGCTTCGTGAGTAACCGAAAAGATTCTTTTTGGAAGGGATGAAGAAGCTCGTTGATAGCAGAAGTACATCGTTATGCAGTGGACTATGTCAGAAAGTGACATATGCATTTGTTCTTCATCAGTGGAAATAAAGGTGTTGTATTGAAATTGTCGTTAGTTTTTAATTTAACCTCGTATTTCACTTGAGTTTAAAATTATTCCGCTCAAGTAAATTTATTGAATATTCTCTTATATTCTTCGAGCGACAGGTATTTTTAATGAATTCTACGCTATGTAACATCTAAAAATTATCAATCTTGAGCATGTCTGATTTCAAGGCACAGAAGCTTTGAAGAAAAATATATGCAACACACTCGAAATGCAATTAACTATGTGTTAATATTGTACGTATAACATAGTATTTGTATAATTAACTAGCAAACGCTTAAAGTCAAGAATTTCACAATATATGTCACAAATAAAGTCACAAATTCACAATATATGTATACGTATTTTTGTAAATTCAAAATATTTTTACTGTACGTTTTACTGCATTTTTATCGTTCTATATCTAATCCCCTGAAGATGGTCTGAGAGTAGGCTGTAAGTACTTGGGAAAATAATGGTTTACAAACCACTCGCAGCATTCTTCGTAACGTAACTGAAATGTTTTTATACAGAAGTTCACCCGATGCAAGGCTCGAAAGCCGCTCATACTAGACGGTTACTATTAAAAGGGTTATGACGAATAGGATGTGTGGTATGAAAAAACTGGTAAGAAGAGAAAATTATAAGGATAAGAAGGATCGATAACACTTGACTTAAATATGTTAGTATTATAATGTTCAGGGAAGTATACACGTGGGAGTCTGTAACACAATGTATCAGTTATTTGGGAAAAAACTGCCTGAGTGGAATTTATTACGTTTGGAAAACGGAGGAAATGAGGGTGATTAGACTCTGTGGAAGTGGCATGACATGCCTTATCTGTAAAGGTCTGAGCTGGATGAGCTAACGAATGGCGCTCATCTGAACATTTTCCACGAACATAGCGATAGTCTTGGAAGATTGCGTCTTTGGGGAAAGTGGCTGTAGAGTAGAAAATAAGTCTTCCCTCACAAAACGTAAAAATGATGTATCTTCTGAAGTATATTTGGCATTTAAATCTTCAGCCTATTGATTGATTGATTCGATTTTTACAACTTATCAACACTTTGCAAGTTATTTAAAGCCATAAAATATTCTTAGGGTGTAAGAATTTTTTTTATTTGGTGGGGGTAGATAATAATGGTTTAGTGATGCAGGTGTTACTAATTAACCTATAACGGAAGGGGAGAATAGGTGGATTCATACCTCATCAAAATTTGATAAACAAATAAGAAATTATATTGTGGATACAAAGTGGGGAATCAATTCTACATAACAATCAATATATAAACTGAAGTCCCACTTTCTGGCCATGGTAGTTTCTGTACATTTATCTTCCAAAGAATGTAGATAAATATAAATGACATGCCTGTGTAGCTAATCGGTATTTCATTGATTCATTCATTCATTTTCTACGGTTTATCAATAATCTGTAGCTTATTTAAAGCCAGAAAATATATTTAGATTGTAAGATTTTTTTGGAGATAATAATGGTTTAGAGTCTTGAAGGTGTTGAAAGTTTTGTGGGACACCAGGAATCTCTTATCGCCACTGCCAAACGGAGAAAATGGCGTGGTTTGGACACATTACAAGGCACGACAGCCTATGCAAGACGATCATGCAAGGCACCGTTGAAGGTGAACATAGAAGAGGACTCCAAACGCAAAAACTGGTTGGACAATGTCAAAAAATGGACAGGTATGACTGTACCAGAATTTCTGATGGCTGCCGTTGATTGATGTGGAAAAGAGTTAGTGTGGCTTCTGTATTCGGATCCGCCTTACGATTTAAAAAGTCAAGGGGAAGGGGATGGGGATGATGATGATCATCATCATACAAGTTTTACTCATAGCTGGGGATAGTAGTGGTGGATTCAAACATTTCCCAAGGGTATTTGTGCGTAAGTGAATATAACGAAACCAAATGGAATTGGAACTCGGCTCTTTGATTAACAATTCCGAGGCATTATCCATTACACCACCCGCGCATCCAAGGTCACAGCAAGTGATCGCCCAGTACTGACTAATGAAGTGTCTGGTTCTACCAAGTTTCTTCCTCGTGTAGCTGCACTGTCCCAATGTAAAGTAATGCTGGAAACTTAAGATAATATGAATGTATTTTATTCAAAGGAAGAAACAACCTTCACCTTTGATCTCTGATTTTGATGCAGATCGAAACCTTTCTACCTGTCAGATTAGATATATTTATTTTATAACTTTAAAAACCAGGTTAACCTATACTTTTTTCAGTTGCATAGTGGAGCAATCAATAGTCTGTCTGTAAAAAGATCTAACAATTAATTTTAAGTGAGACTTATACAGTACAATTTAGGACAAGGATATACGACCTGTAAAAATATCCTGCGATACCCGAAAACAATAAAACGCCATTTTACAAAAATATCTCGTATTTGCAATCACAGTTTAACGGTGGTGTGTAGGACTAAAGTCATCAGATATTGGTTTTTTTGTTTGATATTCAACATAGAACCAAAGTTGATTTATTTTCTGCTATTTTTATCTTACCGTTACGGGCTAAGACGTTTTTACAAATGTAGTCGTGCAATTTCTGTTTTCATTCAAAAATCCAATCGTGTGACCTTACTGTACGACTCATTTTCCTCATCATGCACACATGAAGTGTACTTATTAAATCGTTAAGGGATATATCGATTTAAAACAACGAATGAAAATCAATGTCATATCTGCTTAGAAGTTTCTGCCTTTCGCGGTGGAGTAGCAGTCTGATACGAAATGTTATGTTTGATACGATTCTCATTCAAATTTGAAACTACGATGAAATTATTTTCCCGTTTTGATTATCAAGCCTATCAATCTTTATTCTTATTGTGTCCTACTCAACGAGATGGTCATTCGAGTTACAACTCCCTGGCGTTGCTGCTGGAAACCATGAAATCATTAACCAGTATTTAACCCATAACATTGAGAAAACGTTACACGAGCGTGCACACCGAACGGATAAAAATCGAGGAGATTCATTTTTAAATGGTCTTTTTAATAATTATTTTCGATTTAATTATATACAAAACTATAAAATTATATTTTAACGCCTTTAATTTGTAAAAAATAAGAAACAGGGAAATAAAACAAATATGTTTAGTAAATTTAATATCTTTTAACAGATTTCTTCCATAATATAGTCCTAGGTATGACGATAAACTAATTCCGGCAGAAAGGCCTTTGATCGGGAGATTGGAGATTTTGTGGAGCGGGGAACTACCTTTTAATTGCTATTGTTCTCAGGTTCACCCTAACCCGGGGTGGTAGCAACTGTTAGGGTCCCATCTATGGACAAACAGTGAAAGTCCAAACATAAATCAAAACAAAACAAAAGTATAAAAATACATTTTATAGCATAATAAACAGTAACTTTTAAGCAAGTATAATAAACAATAACTTTTATGCAAGTATAATAAACAGTAACTTCGTGAATCCTGGAGTTGTTAATTGTCATTTAGACTTGAGTCATGAATGAATGATACCGTATAGTTGGATTGTTTGATTGACTGATTTGGCTTTTTTACGGTTTATCAACCTTTTGCGGGCTATTTAAAGCCGAAACATACTTTGGGATTGTAAGATTTTGGTAGATGATAATGATTTAACCCATATCTAGGAGAAGATGTGGATTCATACTTCTCCCAAAGGTATTACTCGTAAGTGAATATCACGAACCCGATTGGAATTCGAACTCAGCTCTCTGATTTCTCATTCCAAGCCGTTACACCACTCGCACATCCAAGCTTACAGCACCTGGTATTCCCAATCGGTCACTAATCTAAGTACTAACCAGGTTCAACGTTGCTTCACTTCGGTGATCGTATGAGAATCGGTGTTTCAACGTGATATGTCCGTAAGCCTCCGTATCGTTGTAAAAAATTTAACTCAACAATTGATATCTCCAGTAAAAAAACAATTTACGATGCCGGCCGTTTGAGGTTTAAATTTTTGGCGCGCTAAATTCCTCACTTGTCTAATTACTCATTGACAATTTCTGCTCTGCTCGAGAGGATTTTAGTGACGCGATTTTTTCTTTTTTTTTCTTTTTTCTGTTTGTAGAATGATTTACAGAAATCTTACTTTTCTACCGAAGACATTGATAAAGGATTTCACCTGGATTAGAGTAGCTTTTTCTGCTTACTCTAAAGGTTGAAGGTTTTTGCGTGTTTAATGGCTGACTCAAAAGTCGGTAAAGATGCTGAGGCTGTGTTCCAAAACCCTATCAAAGGGAATTCGAAAGAAGAAAAAGGAAAGAAGAAAATAAAACAGATAAAAAGAAAAGAAATGGAAATAAAAAATCATAAAGAAAGAAACAAAGAATACACGTAGGAAGCGATCAATGAACGCAAGCAGGAGTTCTAAAACTTGTAAAACCTCACCACCATGTGTTGCAAAATAAGTGCCGAAAAAGAAAGTAGTCTACACACATGAAAAAGGGTTGCTAGATCATCTGTCCTAATTGAAGGTTTTTGCGATAAAAATGTCTTTTACAGGATGGTCGATTCAATAAAAAACATTTAATTAAATCCCTATAGAGTTTGGTGGCTGTGGCCTCACAAAACTTAAAAAGCAGATTTCTTATAACGATTTTCTAAGCGTAGCTTAGATGCGACACAAGGCCGAATTTATGGGGTGCCCAGTGAGGACCGAACTCACTATTCAGTCATAATTGATCTAGTGAGACAAGCTTGCTAACCATTACACCACTTCGAAGTGCTCAAGCTGTTTTTTTTATGTAGTACATACTGTTACATATTACTGATGATTGTCTGGCTATGACAAAAATGAGCTATCGACCAGACAGTGCACATTTCATGTTGAATATCAGGGTTAGTGTAGAACTGGGATTTTAGTGTTTTAAGTGCATTTTAGGGACTCAATTGGCTGCATATTTTCCCCCCAATTTGAGGAAATTATGCTCACCAGTCCCAGTTATATACACAGGGAATGGAAGTTTAACCTCCTGCTAAATTGAAGAGCTAACTCCATTCCTAATTGTTTGAATGTCGAAGACCGGACGCTGAAATTCATTGTTGCGAACAGGTGTGATCTACTAATCGAATCTAGAATAGATACAGTTGTTAAAACGGAAGGTGCAGACGCAGTAGCGATAATTCTAAATAACAGGTCGAAGCTGGTATCTAGAGCTAGATTAAAAACGAATATCTACCGAAGCAAAAATAGAGCCGCAGAATTGTGTACAGATTCCGTAGATAGAAATATCACCAACATCACACCAAGGGATTGGCGACGTTTAACTACAAACGAAGCAGAATTTTAAGAATTCCTTGACTACGACCATAAACCTTTCACTGCTGTAGCAGCTAGACATGTGGGTCCCAACAAAGAATTTAAGATCCAAGAAACGCGGAAGAAGCTCGGAACAGCCAAAACTCCGAGAATTGATAGCCTCTTTTCCAACGATATTTGATGCGGTCGCACATGTTTATCTTCTTGTTGGTACTGATGATCAAAACTGAGCGGGGAAAAGGCAAATATATTTACTACTTTAGGGGTTGCTACGAAAGAACAAGCATGTTTGGGATTAGAATTATCATTTTCACCTCTAAACTCTAAAGACTTTGGCCATGTTCTTAACAAATCGATTACATTATTTGTTGGATCGTCTAATAGCTCCGGAACACACTTATGTTGTTGTTGTGGTGTCCTCCCTCTAAAGAGTCTATGTTGGACTCTTTCGCGTACAATAAGATTAGTAGGAGAGAAGGCCTTGGGGAACAGACCAGATTGTTCAATTGTCGAACTCTCTGCCCTGAGCAGAGAGAAACCCGGACGAGGCTTTGCCGAAGGGAAAAGTTTCGTCCGGGGAGGTAAACAAAGCCTGAACCCGTTATACGGGTTCTAAGGGAATATTTTTGACTGAGCCTATGGGCTCGGAGAACCCACGGTAAACTCTGCCTTGTGCCACATACATTCCTCGTGGGGCGCGGGGCTGTTAAATATAACAGTCGAGTAGATTGAACGCTGGTCAACCGACACCTACTGACTAGTCGTGTATTACTCTTCTGCTGTACTTACTGTTTAATATATGATATATCTGCAAACACGGTTTTCGGTATTTCTTAACCATTTACTTGGTCACAACATCTTGGCGACGAAGTATTCAACGAAACGGACTTCACGTTAAATCATAAAAAAAATTTTGCCAGTGTCTACAACAGTGGTGAAGAAAGGAATTCTAATCAAACCCTACGACAAAAGGATATCCAGTGTTAATTACAACACTGTCAGTGAAAAAAAAAAGAAACTCTTCAAAACAATAGGATTTCTACAAGTTCAATTCAGTGGTTGCGAAGAAGGTTAGTGAACCTTGTTACTTTTTGCATTCCAACAAGTCAGTAAATGACCTGTACAAGTCAAACAGACTTATTATTTTCGCTAATAGGGTAAAGTAAAAATTTACCCCCACTCCCGCTTTTAAATTTTTCAGTAAAAGAATCGTACAAGTCAAACAGACTTATTGTTGGTTAAGAGGGAAAGGAGGAAAAAAATCCCCTCTCTCATTTTTTTTAATTTGACGCAGTAAAATGGACGAATTTAAAAGTGCAATGCTAGAGTTGATGAAACACCAACAGGAACAACAACTACTGTTGGAACAGAAATATCAAGAAAGACAGACACACCAACAAGTACAGTAACTATTGTTGGAACAGAAATACCGAGAAAGACGAGAAAAATTCCAACGAGAACAAGCAGAATACCAGAAGAAATTTGAGGAATTGCACCTAGAAATTCAGGTGAGACAACAGAAATTTGAAGAAATGCTCCTTCAAACACAAAATGGGCAAAGGCACTTGTATAATATATCCATCAAAAGCCAAAATGAGGACAGCGAAAAAGCGTTCTCTCAAAATGCTATATGGAGTGCTATTGAAAATTTCACGATTGCACCTGAAGAAGAAATTACATTCGCTTCGTACTTTAAACGTTACGAGGACTTATACAATACGGATTGTGCAAGTTGGGGTGACGATTAAAAAGTTCGCCTACTCCTTAGGAAATTAGACACAGTAGAATATACTAAGTTTGTTAACTATATTTTGCCTAAGAAAACCAGTGACTTGAAATTTAAAGAGGCGGTTCAATCATTAACAGAATTCTTCAGTCCAAAAACGCCACTGTTTCACAAGCGTTGGAAATGCATGAATCTCCGCAAAAAAGATTATACTACTTTCGCGAGTGTAATCAATAAACACTGCGATGACTTCAAATTGGCAGAGTTAAGCACCAGTAATTTTAAATGCCTGATTTTCGTTTAGGGCTTGATTTCAGCGAAAGACGCCGAAATACGTCGTAGGGTACTCAACAAGCTTGAAAACGAGCTCGACGTTACTTTACAGCAAGTTGCCGAAGATTGCCAACATTTTGTGAGCGTCAGAGAGGATTCGAAAAAAACATCGAACAGAGTGGCGTGGCTTACATTAAAAAAAAATACGCCAAAGAAAAATTAAAAAGGGTCAACCATAAAATAATAAAGTTATTTTGTCGTCAAAACCCTATTTCGGTTGTGGTCAATTACATTGGTATAGAGATTGTCCTTTTAAAGATAAAAGTGTTTTAATTGCGATAAATTAAAACACAAAAGTACCCACTGCAGGATTATTAACAAGACAAAAAAAGTTTTGTAAAAATTACCAAGTCTGATGAACCAGAAAGTCGTAACATCAGAAAATATATTAAAGTGCAAATATTTAACAAAAGTATAAGGCTACAGCTTGATTCTGGTTCAAACTTATCCACAATTAATTATTAGACATGGAAAAAACTGGGTAAGCCGACTTTATTAAGAACGAACCGAATAGCTAAAAATGTAACTGGCGACCCTATTAAGTTTATGGGCGAACTTATAACGAACGTGTCATTCAAAGGTAAAACTTTAAAACTAAAGGCGTATATTATGAAGAATACGAGTAATTTGTTCAGGATTGATTGGTTAGAACAGTTTCAACATTGGGATATGCCTCTGAACTCATTATGTCAAAAAGTCGAAAATTTGACCGACGAAGAAGAAAAATTGAAAGGTGAACTTAAAAAAAAAATTTCCCGACATTTTAAGTGGAGGACTAGGAAAATGCACGAAAATGTCTGCTAAGTTTGAGTTAAAGCCAGACGTAAACCCAGTTTTTAAGAAAAAATGTAACGTTCCATTTGCCTCGTTAAATCAAATTGACGAGGAGTTGAAGCGATTTGAGGAAATGGGATTTTTGGCAAAGGTTGAATGGGCATCTCCCACAGTTTATATTTTTAAAAGAGCAAAGAAATTCGTGTCCGTGCTGACTTCTCTACGAGGCTGAACAACGCCCTAAATGATCACCATTATCCCCTTCTAAATCCAGAGGAGATAATCGCTAATCTCAGTGGAGGAAAATATTTTTCTAAGATTGACTTAAGCGACGCATATCTACAAATAACCTTGGACGAGGAATGCTCGAAGCTCCTTTGCATAAACACCCACAAGGGTTTATACAAATTTTTAAGACTTCCATTTGGGATTAAGGTCGGCCCTTCCATTTTTCAACACATCATGGACACGATGTTAAATGGTCTGGATTTTGCGGTGGCCTATCTCGATGACGTCTTAATGAAAAGCGAAAGCATCGAGGAACACAAATCGCACGTCTGGCAGGTGTTCATGAGAATCCAGGATTACGGATTCAAATTAAAAGACGGGAAGTGTGAATTTTTCTTAGAGAGGATTAAGTACTTGGGGCAAATAATTGACAAAGACGTAAGACGTTCCGACCCAATGCAATGGTAATAAAGAATATGCCAGCACCAGAAAAAGTGTCGGCTCTTTAAAGTTTTTAGGTTTTGCCAATTATTATAACGTTTTTGA